TAAGTAACTATCACCAGCTCCTGTGACCTCACAAATGTGAACTACTCATTAGAGTAGGGATGTCTGCTTCAGAAAGAAAGTACAATAGCTTCCATACATTATTCTGTCTGTGGTCGAGTCAAGTATATCTGTGGATCAGAACAGCATAGAAAAAAAACGAAGAGAAATACCCTCAAATTGACATGAAAGTGATAAGTCTTCTTATCTCATTTTTGAATTTGAATCCACCCTACCAAGAATACTAGAGACTCGGATTCAAAGGAGGCATAAATGGGAGTCCCCTCCCAAACATGAATCAGTCAGACTAGCAAAGTGACTGCTCCCACACAGACTTCCTCATTTAGCTAAAGGCAAATACAGATCAGAGTTGTATTTGTAGACTGCCTTTGGACTTAAGTATTCTCAAAAATAAAAGTCTAAATAGCACATCTTACTACCATATAGTTTAACAAAACTCAGAAAACCCCCACTCAAATAAAATCTGGGAGGATTGCAAACACTGACTAGAGTGGCAACATCAATGTAAGACTATGTGCCAAGAGACCAATGTAGTCAAAGTATAGATTTAGTGAACATAACAATGTAGTCAAGTTCATATCTTGGAAATACCTGCATCGGCAGTTTAACTCAGTGGAAACAGCCAAAGAAACACATTAGAGTTGAGGGACCTTGCTAGATGACTATTTTAAACCAGTTTCTTCTTTATAAGACAGGAATAATAGCTTCATTTCACAGTACTCTTAGGAAGGTGAACTGGCTGATAGCAATAGGTAACTTTAAAGCAGTTCTAGGTATTAAGATTTAACTCCAAGTTCACTTTGCTTTTTGTCACTAAACTGTTCTAACACATAGGACAAATAATTTGACCTGTAGCACTTTCTTACTGTCAAATTATAAAGATAATATATGCCCTCCACATCTTACAGATGCTGCCAAAAATAATATGAAAACTCACACAGAAAAGGTCTTTGAAAAATTAACAAATATGTAACTGAGGTAGCTAATTCAGTGTATAAAACATGAAAGAAGTTTGGGGCTGAAGATATAGCTCAGCTGTTAAAAGCACTGGCTGCTGCTCTTGCAGAGGAACTAGGTTTGGTTTCCAGCATCTACATGATACTCACAACCACCTGCAGCTACAGTTTCAGGGATATTCAATGCCCTTTTCCAGCTTCCTTGGATACTGTGTGCATATACATAACAAATAAAACACTCATACTCATAAAATAAGTAATTTCTCTAAAAAGAAATTACATTGCTAAAGCATTAATTGAAACAAAAAAGAAAAGAGTGAAATGAATAAATAAATAGCAGGCATTATGGTTTGGAGCTTAAATGTCTACTAAAGGTTTATATGTGAAAGGTTTGGTGGCCAGCCTACAGTGCTGAACTTTTAGGAGGTGGGGCTTACTCAGATCTCCTCCACTGTAAGTTCCTCCCCACATAAAACTGTCTAACACAGGCCCAAAACGATGAGACCAAAGGTGCATGTATATCAATCTTAAGCGGCTGATTAACAGAAAAGTCGAATACTAATGTGTGGAACTTTGGCAGAAGACACTTATAAATGGTGGAAACCTGCCTAAGTATTTCAAACACGGCCCCTCCATTGCCCTCTGTTATGCAAGCAGCAACATTTCAAGCCAGTTCCCTTATTTCACTACTGAGTCCTGTCAACACTGAGGTAGTAGAACTGGGGAAAGTCATTACTCCACAGAGATAATCAAATATCAGAATTTTTCATTTGGTAAAAATTTTATCAGTGCCAAATAAAACTAATGCAAATTTAGTAAAATATGCAAGACTTTGAGTAGTTCTTTTGTTGAAAAGGACTCTCGGGGAGCTTCCAACCCATCAGGCAATTGTCTAAGCCTTCTTTTGCTCCTTTGCCCTTTTCACACCCCATCTCTCAAGTGTGGGGCAGGGGGAAAAGAAGATGGGAAACCGGAATCAACTAATCAGCATATATTTATGCATCGTTCTACTCTAAATCTATTCCCACAGGTTTTTTTCTCATACTATGCTCCTCCAAAAAGAGAGCCATATTTATTCATCCCCCAAATTCCCTAAACCTAACCAATATCCTTCATATAAAGTCACTGTTACCAGCTATGAATGGCAGGCAATGGAATGAAACTAGAGACAGATGTGAAAGAGACAGAGACTTCATCCTGAACCCACACTATGGAAATGAGAGACAAAAGAACGAATGTTAGCAGCAGACATCCAATCAAATAAGGAAGAACCAGCAAACATACAAACCTACCATGTATGCTTCCTTCTCTTACCTCCTGTAATCAACCAAAGATTAGAAAAGAACAAAAGCAGTCAATCTTTTCAAAACTATGTGTGTTTCTATCCCTGACTACAGTCATTGCATATACACTCAACATGTCCATATGAGGTAGTTACCTATGTGGACTCCAAAGTCTGAGCACTTTGGGTGTGAATCCCACTTCTAACTCATGGCAATGGGTAGGGACATAAGGTAAGTAGTCAGAGGCCTTGCCCTACAAGATGACTTAAGGAAGCTCCCTGTGCCTCCATTTTCTCATCTGCAAAATGGGGAACAATAAGTTCCTAGCACATATAACTGTTTTAAGGATTAAATGAATATATGTAAAAATATGTAAAACCTTGCCTGGAACATAGTTCATATATACATCATTCTAATTAGTATCATTGTTACTAGCATCCATTACTATATTTAACAAAACTAAAACCTGAAAGTAAAACTGGACTTTTATTTTCCTCCTAAACCTGTCTTCTCAGAAAACAGCACCTACTTCTTCCACCCAAACCCGGAAACATTATTACTCCTCCCTTTCCTCAGCACGCTCCCATCAGTAAGTCCTGTCAACAGAATTGGAGTTCAACCTCTTAATGCCACCTCCAAAATTGCCTCTCTTGGTCTAAGGTCCCATACCATCTCCCCTCTCAAGGTACAGCACAACAACAGTCTCCTGCCTCCTCATTTTCATGCCCCCTCCACCACTCCATGACTCTACAGTTAATATGCCGTGGGGTAAATGAGGAAACAGACAGCATTCCCATGATGGTGCTGTCTTGTGGCTTTTCCATTACATTTACACATAAAGTGTCTACTTTGACACAGGCTCCAGGACCCTACCAGAGTCTATTAGATGTTTCAAGGTTATATGTCAACACTTCTTACTATGCTGAGACAGAACAGTCATTTGGAACACAGCCTCTCAAATCAGATGACCTAAATTCAAATGGCAAATATTTTAACAGTGCCAAATAAAACTAATGCAAATTTAGTAAAATATGCAAGACTTTGAGTCTCTTAAGCTTTTAGCTTGAGTACGCATCTAACATATGCCAGTTTCCTCATTTATAAAAAATGGAGCTAGTTCTCTTTGCTTAAAAGGCAGCTGGAAAGCGTTCAGTGTTTAGAACTGGGCCTTGCATATGGTGAGCTTTCCAGGCCGGATGGTTATACTATCTCCATTCACCACTCCCAAGTGGAGAATGAACCCAGGGCCATAGCTCTACTATTTCTACCCAGGCTGGGCTTAGACCCCATCTGCAGCCAATGCAGTCCTTGAATTTGTACTCCTCCTGTCTTGACCTCCCAAGGAATTTAAAACCCACCAGCTGGGCTCCTGATGGGGCCCCACACTGTCCCCTCACCAGCCTCTCACCTCTATGTCACTGCACTCTCTCTGTGTGAAACAATTTCATGTACCTATTCCCTGTCTAGTTCTCCACTGAACTCTGCTAGCGTGCAAGTCTTTACCCTTGCCATCTATTTCTAGTTCTGACTCAAAGTCTGACTACTGGTGGCTGATGCAAATAGCATGCCATACTTAGAAAGCTGCCTGTGCTCTCCATGGTCTCATCTGATACCAGTAAAAGTAACAAAAGTTACACTATCATCTCCCACTTATAGACAGATTTTTAAAAAGTTCCAAGATTTAGATGACTTGTCTTTGGAAAGCCCTACTTTGATTAAAGGGTCCTTTGTAAGGATTTAATACCCTCCACTGAATTCACAGAAATGGGGCCCTCTTGATCTACTGTTTCAATCCATCCTAGGGTGTGTATATTCCCTTCAAAGTTCCTGACAAGTTCCTGTACCAGAGTTTGAGATAAGTGTGTAACAACATTGTAATGTTGTACCTAACTCTTCACTAAGACAAGAGTTGACTAAACCATATAAGTATACAAGCTGACCCTACTTATCTGCGTTGAGTATAACCTACTAGTTCTGAGCTGCTAAAAAGTTTTCTGAAAAAGATGGGGGGCAACATATTGCCAATATCTCTGTGATAGTGGTACCAGTTACTGGATCTGATAAATCAATAAAATAGCTGAGATACCTACAGGTTCAAAAGTCATGATCAGACGGGTCGGATAGGTGTGTGGAGGAGGTAAATCCCCGAGAAAGAGCTTTATATACAAATGGGCTACCACACTCCTCGGAATGAATATTTTCATAAGCGTTGTGTAGAGCTACATAGGTTGGGTAGGCTCACAGGGTCTCAAGGCACTGTAGCCCTGCTGGAGGTGACGCAGCACGTAAGTTGCATTCTGCTACCTGGGTACTTGCAGGATCCCAAAGGAAGAGGGGCACAGGGCTGCTAGTCTTTGAAGGGGCTCTCCATTCCAGGCTGACCGAGAAAGTCCTACTGCAAAATGAGAATGGAGACTGGGAACTAATCTCTTTATCAACGAAATTTAGGGAGCGCCTCGCCAGTTTCCCGTTCTCAGGCCTTAATCACCCGCTCTTAGCTGTCATAGGCCAGCGGGAACGGTGCTGGCCGGGCTCAGGAACGGCCTCGCCTCCACAAGCCCACGGTCCCAGGAGGGTGCGCTCCCACTTGGGACGGTCACCAGCCCGGCAACACGGTCGGTGGCTGCCGGGTCTCCCGAGGCTTCCCGGTGCCCGCGGTCAACACCGCGACCGCGACAGCTAGCAGCCCTCAGGCCCCACGAGCCCCACAAGCCAGGCAGCTGCAGAATCCTCGCAAACTTACAGTTTTCCTACTGCGTACGCGTCACGGCGGGGTGACGTCACGGGCCGGCGTTCAACGAGGTCAGCCCGCGGGCGCTGTGCACCGGCCCAGGCCCCGCCTCCAGCGAGCGGCGGGAGACGCCCCGTCCCGCCCTGCCCAGAGCGGCGCGCAAGCGCACGCGGCCTGCCGCCTTGTGCTCGTGGGCTTCGCAGACCGGCGCGCCTAGGCGGCCACTCTTCACCATCTTCACACAGCCCCTGAGGCGAGAAGGTCCCGGGTCCACGGAACGGGGGAGACCCAAGAGAACAACTCAGACTCTCGCCCGGGCTTGGGGCGGACGGAAGGGTTCTTACGTAGTCCTTCCGCAGACACTGCCTTTCTCCCCTCACCTGTCACTAAAACTTGTGCACGTTTGGCAAAAGACACTTGTTCTCCTCCAGAGGCCCAGGGGTTCTCCGCCAGGGTCACAGGGGCAACTCTCCCATGGGCCCTTGCGCAGTCCCACTTCTGCCCCCCCTCCTGCCCGCGCCCAGATGGGCACGCCCACCAAGAGTAGACCACGCCCGCTCCAGTCCAACCAGAGCGAGCCCCGCCTATGTATGTCCCGCCCTTGTCCGGCTAGGCCCCGCCCCTGGCCCCGCCCTTCCGCGTCCGGCTCGTTGGGGTCAGCTGCAGCGGAGGGGGCCCCCCCCTCCCAGTCTGCGTGTCTGCGGAAAGAGTCTTCAGCCTCTTCCTACTGCAGTCCCCTTTTACAAGTCACCTGTTAAGTTTATCAAGTAGTGACCCTAGTAAACTTTCCAGCTTTCCCTTAGGTGACGAAAATACGGCTGTCCAGCTCTGGCTAAAAGACCGCTGCGAAGAAAGTGACGGCGGAGAGTGGACCACAGAATCTGAAAACTAATTCCTGCTTCTTAGGAGTCCCACGATACTCCTTCAAGCAGAAAAAAGTAAATCTTATGATTTAAACAAAAAAGAGGAGAAAGAAAGAAAAAGAAAAAAGCAGTTCAAATTGTTTGTCTAGCACCTAGAAAGAGGACATATTGAAAATAGGGAGGGTCACTTTTATAATTTAGCCAGGTCAGGGATTTTTCAGGGCAGCCTCTGTGTGTATTTAAATCTAAAACAATGGTTTGTTTAAGCTTCTCTTTGGAGTGATGACTGGGAACTGGTAAGCAAAGACCTGCTTGAAAATAGGCTCCTAAGCAGAAGCAGGAGAGAGTGGAGTTCCAGGACAGTCTGGACCGAAGAGATCCTGCTTCAAAAGATAAAATAAAACAATAATGGATCCCAGGAAAATCTACCTAGATAATTAGTTTTGAAAGAACATAATCAGTGTGGCTAAATATTATGCAATGTTTTTATCCTTATCAAATGATATAAGATAAATTTTTGGACATAATTTTAACATTATTTTGTGAAAAATGTAGAAAATTAGCATTTTTAAAACTTGCACATATCTCTAGTGATATTTATTTTTTATGAAGAATGACCATAAGATTCTGTCTTTTCATTATTCACATGCTGACAGGTCTTCTATACCACTTCTCCAAACGAATTTTTTTTTCGTAGACCCATTGCTTCTTATTTTTTATTGCTTTTATTGAGCTATAATTTTTCTCCCTTCATCTCCGCCCCCTTCTGCCCTCTCCCAATGTCCCCATGCTCCCAATTTACTCAGAAGATCTTGTCTTTTTCTACTTCCCATGTAGATTAAATCCATGTGCATTTCTCTTAGGGTCCTCATTGTTGTCTAGGTTCTCTAGGATTGTAGGTAGGTTTTTCTTTGTTTTATTTCTAAAAGCCACTTATGAGTGAGTACATATGATATTTGACTTTCTGGGTCTGGGTTACCTCACTCAATATAATGTTATCTAGGTCCATTCATTTTCCCAAAAATTTCAAGATGTCATTTTTTTCTGCTGTGTAGTACTCCATTGTGTAAATGTACCACATCATCTTTATCCATTCTTCAGTCAAGGGACATTTATGATGTTTCCAGGTTCTGGCTATTATAAATAATGCTACTATGAACATAGTTGAGCACATGTCCTTGTGGTATGGTTGAGCATCCTTTGGGTATATACCCAAAAGTAATATTGTTCGGTCTTGAGGTCTTAATTTTCTGAAAAATCGCCATACTGATTTTCGAAGTGGCTATGCAGGTTTGTACTCCCACCAGCAATGGAGGAGTGTTGCCTTTACCTCACATCCTCTCTAACATAAGTTGCCATCAGTGTTTTTGATCTTGGTCCTTCTTACAGATGTAAGAAGGAATCTCAGAGTTGTTTGGATTTGCATTTTTCTGACAGCTAAGGATGTTGAGCATTTTTTTAAGTGTCTTTCATCCATTTTAGATTCCTTTGTTGAGAGTTCTCTGCTAGGGTCTGTACTCCATTTTTTAATTGAATTATTTGTTCTTTTGATGACCAATGTCTTGAGTTCTTTGTATATTTTGGAGATCAACTCTCTGTCCAATGTGGGTTTGGTAAAGACCTTTTCCCATTCAGTAGGCTGCCATTTTGTCTTGTTAACCATGTCCTTTGCTTTACAGAAGCTTCTCAGGTTCAAGAGGTCCCATTTATTAATTGTTTCTCTCAATGTCTGTACTACTGGTGTTATATTTAGGACTTCCACTTGGTCTCCTGTGCCAGTGCCCAAACAGGAATTTTTAAAAGAGATCTTCTAGCTAATGCCTCAGATTCTCCTACAGGTAAATGTCATTGTACTTTTCTTTTAAGAATGGAAATATATGCCTGGGCATTGGTGGCACAAGCCTTTAATCCTAGCACGTGGGAGGCAGAGGCAGGCAGATCTCTGTGAGCACAAAGTCAACCTGGTCTACAGAGCTAGTTCCAAAACAGCTAGAGCTGTTACACAAAGAAACCCTGCCCCTGGGCGAGTGGGGGTGAAGAGTAGGAATACTATATGCCAAATGTGTTAAATATTTCTAGTATAGGGCATGCTAAAAATATGCATTAATCACTTGATTGTTCAGTATTTTTCCCTAATGCTTCAAATTTGTTGTGTATGTGGGATGTGTGCTCAAATGTATGTTTATGCTGGCCTATGAGTACTATGGCATATGTGTAGGGGTCAGAAAACAGCCTCAGTTGTGGGTCCTATCTGGCCTTCCACCTTTCTCGAGGCAGGTTCTTTGTGCTTGTTGCTGTGCTCTACATTGGCAGGAGTTTCCAGAGATTTGCCTAGCTCCACTTCCATCTCAGTATAGGAGCACTGGGATTTCAGACTGGAGGTACTAAACCCAGTTTTACATAGGTTCTTAAGATTTGAACTCGGGTCCTTACACTTATGCAGCAAGCACTTTACAAGTATATTTTTAAAAACCTGTGTTGCTTTGTACAAGAAAGAAGGAAGTGTGATAAACAAAAGACTGAGAAAGAAACGTGAAAGTCAAATAGAAGTTTGAGGAAGCAGATAAGAAGTACATACGGAAAATGTTAAAAATCTTTAATGTGTGATACATTCACCTTTACGTACTCACATAGAAGCACAGTAAGAGTTGGTGGAGCTCCTGTATGAACTGGAATTTGGTCTAAATGAATAGTGAGAAGTTAGCACTGGATGTCTTCATATTAGGCAGACCTGAAGGCAGAGCTACCTTTAAGGAAATAGACATCTGCCCCTTCCAGGTGCAGTACTGGAAATACTGAGGCACTCTAGTCTTTGGGTGTTGCTTTATCCTTGAGATTCTTTCATTTTGATATCTGCTGCCTCTAGCAACCACTGTCCAGTCTCTTTTACTTCAATACACACTATACTTCCTTTGGTTTTAGTTAGCAACTTGAGTAGAGTCCCACTTGACCATTGCAGAAAAAGTACCTAATACTTGAAAGAAATTTAAAAAGTGAAGAAATACAATGGCTAATTTTTCCTGGATGTTAGACACCTTGAAACTGAGTATATTCTGTAATTATTCCCATCTTACCCACTGGGCAAGCAGAACTGTAGGAGATCATTACAGGTAGTGCGTAGCAGAAGCAAAACTTGAAGCCATACTCCATAACCACACCTACAATAATCACTGATCTGTATAATTTCATGAAAAAAGAAAAACCACACAATCCAAGAAAGAAAGAAGCAGAAAGTTCAAGGAACAGTATGTAAAAATTTAAAACTCTGACCACAGTATATCACTACCTTCATAGCTTTCCATTCTGTTTCCAGCAGGTGATTTTGTATTTAAGGTGCTCACTGTGACCCAACTTGTTAATTTTGTGACTCATTCATGCATTTCCACCTTTAGAAGTATAAAACATAAAATTCCTGCTTCATCACATATGAATAAGAATAATTGAGATCAGGTGTGGTAACAGATGTCTTTAATCCTAGTATTCTGGAGACAGTAACAGGCAGATCTCTGTGACTTCAAGGCCAGACTGATCTGTGTAGTGAGTTATATATCAGCCAGAGACCCTGTGTCAAAAAAAGAAGAGAAGGAGGAAGAAGAGGTTAAGGACAAGGACAAGGAATCTTTCTGTAAACATGTTGCTGTTTGTTTTATCTATCCTCACCAGCATGCTAACCATGCATTCTGTCTCTGCTATATTCCAAGCATATGGGGGGGGGGCGGGTAATTCTGATGTGGGATTCCCCTCTGTATGCTGTGAATACCACTGGGGAATAAAGAAACTGCCTTGACTGTTGATAGGGCAGAACTTAGGTAGGTGGGGAAAACTCAACTGAATGATGGGAGAAAGGAGGCAGAGTCAAGAAAGAAGCACATTGGAGACAGACACTGGGAACTTTGCCAGTAAGCCACTGCCACATAGCGATACACAGATTAATGGAGATGGGTTAAATACATATGTAAGAGCTAGCCAATAAGAAGCTAGAGCTAATGGGCCAAGCAGTGATTTAAATGATATAGTTTCTGTGTGATTATTTCAGAAGTCTGGGTGACTGGGAAATAAACAAGCAGTTCATTACAACAGACTGGTGCCCATGTGACCAACTAAAATCCACTTAAAATCTAGAGAGTTTGGGAAGGAATTCTAGACACAAAAGAACAGAGTTAAGCATGGTTTGGTAGTAGCATTTTCTTGGGCGGGCTCTGTTTTCTAGAAGCAAGCAGAGGCATGGCTCCTTTAAGAGAGGTTTTCCTGATTCAGCTGTAAAGCAGAAAAAAGCCATGCTGTTTTGAAAACTACAGCTTCCTGGAGCATGCTGCCAGCATGAACTCTGGCTCTTTCAGAAGACCAGGCATTTAAATGGAATTTGTAAGCAGCATGTTACAAACTGCTTAATGGCTCAACATATGGCTGCATACTTAGAACTGGGGCAGTGTGTATAGCTTGCAGAGGAGTGAACAAACCTCTTCCATTATGTTGGACTGGGTGGAGCAAGCAGAAGGTGCTGTATATACCCTAGTAATGCTGCAGCTTAGGTTTTTAAGAAATGCTTAGCATTTTAAGAAGCAGTCCTGATCCGAAAATAATTATCAATACAGAATAAAGACATACTCAGATGGA